TTAACGTCGCGTGCAAATGTGGAGAGATCCTCCAGAGGTGTTTTGGTCCTGCCTTAGAACTCCGAACGAAACATCTGTATACGAATGTTTCTCTTTGGCATAATCACCCTCGCCGTCGCTGTGGGGAAGAACTGAAAAAGTAAACAAGAGAACTAACGTGGGAGAAAGACGGAAAAGACCAAGAGAAGGGTTTGTAAATGGTTCTTTCTCTTGATCTGATGAGAATAGAATTGAGAGAAATGAAAAAGGTGGATGGATCAGATGGAATACAGAAAATAACGGCACGGATTAAACAATTCTTGAGGGTTTCCTGGAAACGGCAAATAAACCGAGAGATAAAGATATAAACATGCAAAAGGGTAAATAACATCACATAAATATCGTACCTAGCGAGACAGCAAAGACACGCACACCCTTATACACACCAAAATTATATCCAAATAAGCAAGTACACTAATAGAGAGAAACACGCGGCGGTCGAAACAATATACGACGTTTACAGGTCCTCCCCTTATATACAGTGCAAGACATATCAATGCACAGGATAAGCTAACAAGGCTCGCGCTGCCGCCCTGACAGTTCCCCGAACCGCGATGTCACACAAGAAGTCAAACGACCAATTAAAAACAAAGCCCTCGGGCCTCGGGCAAACAGAGCCGCGTGTGGCTCACAGGCTCGCACTTTATGGCAGCCGTAAACGTGACATGCCGTGACTCCCGCCGGTGTCGCCGCCAAACCCGCCGGATATTGTCTCGGGGCTCGAGGCACGCAGGAGGAGCGGGCGCGGGCGTCGGGCGCCGCGGCTGCGCCCGAGCGAAGGGCGGGAGCGGAGCGTCCTGCTAATAATAATATGTGGTTTTATTATCAGTAGCAGTAAATATTTGCTATTATTATTATTATTATTATTATTATTATCACTATTATTATTGTCCTTATTATCATCATTATTATCATTATTATCATTATCATCATTATCATTATCATTTTGTCATCAACATTAATATCATATTATCATCAACATTATTATCATATTATCATCAACATTATTATCATTATTATCATATTCACATTATTATCATCTGTTATCATTACTCTTTCATTATGATTACTACTTTCTATTTCTATTACCATTACTATCACTATTAATTCTTTTCAGAGATACGTTTCCCATGCTATTTGAACATTCAGTCTTCGTTTTGGTGAACAAAGGAATGAAGGGGAATTACATAATGCAATCCCTGTCTCTGACGTCATGCAGATTTCTACGCGAACAGAGCGGATTTCCGTCATTCGCATCTATCGAACCGCGTCTCCATTGAAGCTCACGCGAGGGGGGGGGGGGTCACGCCAGGTCGCATCCGCAGTCGTCGCAAGTCCGCCATGTCGTAAACACGTGACTGTACTCGGGCCGCTGCTAATGGCCGCCTTGTGCACGGGAATCCCGCTGTCTTTACGGCCTCTACATGTGAACTCCGCTAATTGGCCCGAGAATGCCTGTGGGAGACTGTTGCCGCGAGCACTTCGCCGTTCCCGAAAGGTTGCCGTCGGGGCGAATAAACCCTCACGGGCAGCGCGATTTACGGCCGTGTTTGTCTTCGGAGTTTAATGTCGGCCTCTTCATTAGCTTCGATTGTGGGAAGGACGTGCCCTGTCGTCCGCGTGTAGACACATGGGCATGCAATGAACTTGCTACCTTTTATATCTTCAGAGAATTACGATAATTAAATAGCGTAAAAACGGTAAAAAAAAACTCAGAAATATGAAAGCGATGAAGGCTTCCCATATGGCTTTGCACTCAGTCCCTCTGACAGAATAAAAGCGTTGTCGTTGATATCGACTAATGGGCCGTCCCGCCGTGAAAGTGATTACCTTGAGCAAATCCAAAGGCGCGCGAGGCTTATTTGCTCAAGAAAAGAACAATTTCAGGTGTGAAGATCGCAGCGATCTCAGCCCCATAAATTGTCTCAGAAAGGGAAGAGTTTCCTCTTAACAGATTAAGTTTACGTGAAAAGTTTGGAACTTAATGTGGCTTCCAAACGTTACGTGGTTCAGAACTTGAGTCCGATGCATGGACGAGCGGTGGTCTCCCTCACTCACGCACGCACTCGCACACACACGACACACACACACACACACACACACACACACACACACACACACACACACACACACACACACACCCACACGCACGCACACACACACACACACAACACACACACACACACCAAGCACACTCTCCTTTCCTCCTCCCCCTCTCTCCTCTACATCGCGATCTCTCTCTCTCTGTACTGTGCTGGTGCAGCTGGGTGCTGGTCTAGCAATCTTGCGGACCTGCGTTCAACCCACGCCGGCCAGTGAGTGGTAACCCCGTCCATTCCTAAATTAGACATCAAATTACATTATATCAAAATTTCCCATCGGATGTCAATTCACAAGAAATAATAATAAAAATAAGAGTCGAATGAAATAATCCTTAATGTCTCGCGTGACGAATGAGATTTTTACGCGACATCTAATCCGGATAAACATGCCATGTCCACTGTAATTTCAATTTATTAATGATGTTTACACATAGATGGATGGTGCTATCTCTCCTCTTTATTTATTCCCTTGATTCCGGAAATTCAAAAACTGGAATAGAAAAACAGCAACAAAAACAACATGATTATCATATTGCCCTTAATGATATCGATATTAGTAACAATAGAAATATATATACATATATATATTTTTTCTTCTTTTCTTTTTCTTTCTTTCTTTCCTTCTTTTTTATGGAATGGAGAAATTATGTGCGGTCAATAGGGCTTACTATTTGAATCCTCGGCAGACGAGCATTTATGAAGCCATCTGAATGCAACAAAATTTAAAGAATACAAAAGTGGACAAGACATGAACCAAAGACTGATGGGTTAAATAATTTATATCCTAGACATCGCAAGTGTCAATATGTGTTTCCACTTTCGTAAGAAAATTAGTTATCGATTCTGTACGCAGGAAACCACTGTGAAGACAATTAACAACACATCAAAGAAAACTTTCACTGAATATAATACGCCACTTGTGATTAATGATTCACATGAAATTATTTATTACAATAGCAACTTGAAAACCTTTCATTTACAGGTGTAAATGGTATTACTTAAATTACTTAATTATTACAAAAACAGTTACAAAAAAATTAAAATACAATTCAGTGTTTTAACTGGTTAATTTCATCAAATAACAATTTCTAACAGCAACTGCAAAACCATCAATAAAATCCCCTGAATGGGAGAAGTGGGGGAAAAAAGTTTTTTGCCATTTACAAACTAAGTGCTGTAGTACGTGAAGATTTTTCAGAATAAAAAAAAACATATTACTTCAATAAAATGTAATGCGTATATATTTATTTATAAATATACACACACACACACACGCACCACACCACACAACACACACACACACCACACACACACACCACACACCCACACACACACAACACACACAATATATATATATATATATATTATAATATATATATATATATATATATATATATATATGTATATTATATATATATATATATTATATATATACTATATATATATTATATATATTATGAATATTATGTGTGTATGTGTATATATACATATATATATAATATATATATATAATATATATATATATATAATATATATTATATATATATATATTATATGTGTTGTGTGTGTGTGTGTGTGTGTGTGTGTGTAATAATATACATTATATACATATATTATATATATAATATATATATATATATAGTATATATATATTATATATATATATTATATATATATATATATTATAATATATATATATTCATATATATATATATATATTATATTATTATATATATATATATATATATATTAACAATATTATATATATACATATATATATATGTAATATATATATCATATATATATATAATATATATATATATGATATATAATAATATATATATATATACATACAGAATACCACACACACACACACACTCACACACACACACACACACACCCACACACACACACGNAGCCACGATCAGCACGGCGCAGTCGGCCTGGGACGTTCCGGTGATCATGTTCTTGATGAAATCGCGATGGCCTGGGGCATCGATGATGGTCACGTAGAACCTGTTGGTCTCGAACTTCCACAGGGCGATGTCGATGGTGATGCCGCGCTCGCGCTCGGCCTTCAGCTTGTCCAGCACCCAGGCGTACTTGAAGGAGCCCTTGCCCATCTCAGAGGACTCCTTCTCGAACTTCTCGATGGTTCGCTTGTCGATGCCACCGCATTTGTAGATGAGATGACCGGTAGTGGTGGACTTGCCAGAGTCTACGTGGCCCACCACCACGATGGAAATGTGGATCTTCTCCTTGCCCATGGTTGATTATTTCACCGAGAGCTTACAGATCTGCAAAAGGAAGCCGGACTTAGTGTCATACAAAAATGGCCGCTACGTAGTCCTAGCTTATGGAGTGTAAAAACCCTAGACTTAGGCCTACATTGGTAATTTAGGTCTACATTGAAATCATACAATACGTTGACTTAACGGCTACTAAAACACCTACTTAATTTCTCAATTTAAACAGGTTTAAGATAATCTTAATTACATTTAAATAAGTACTATCAAGTGCTATTAAGAGACTACTTTCTAAATTCAATACCACGAAACCCCGCACGTGTTCGTTAACCCAATAGAAAGGAACCTAGTGAGAGCCATCAACCCGCTCACAGTCACAAAGTGCACAACATTTTCCGATCTTTGTTCCCACGGCGTCGCGCGGCCGTAATGGCGGCGGCCGTAGCCCATGCCAGCTACAGCCGGCTGGGGCTCCACGCACTGCTCTTACGATGGCCGGGACTTAATCCTGAATTAATTTAATAGATTCATCCATAGCGCTGCACTAGACGCACATTTTCACTGCGATTCGGGCCTTCGAATCGCCCTCTCGGCTTTCGTTTTCTACGAAACATGTGCCGGGCGGCGACCATGTGCGATCTGACAGCCGGCAGCTGGCCAACACTTCACTGCTTGTAACGAGCTCTTTTGGGCTCATATCCTTGGCTCAACGTTTGTCACGCATTGCACCTGGATTGCTGCACTATTTTACACCTTTGCTTGTACTTTTTCCTTAAAGATTTCACTGAAAATCGTCACTTTCACAAATTCTTACCTTGGCAACAGGCCCGCGTCGACTGGCCAAGACGGAAAGGAACGATGGAAGAAGCCGAAAGTACTATATAGCCGCGGTCTCATTTTTCATTGGCTGGCGGTAAGTGACGTCACATCAATACGACTCGCCCATTGGTTATGACGGCTAAACGTCACTGTATGCAGAGGGTTCTGATTGGTCAGCGTGGAAGCGGCGCGCGCACCGCTCGCGCCTCTATTTCTGGCGGGAATTTCGTTCACGAGCGAGAGGCAAACGAGCGATTCAGAGCAGTTTGAGAAGTTCGTCATTTTGGGATAATTTGGCTTTTATTTGCGATGAAATTGTTCCATGGCATGTGGCATCTTTCCGTTTTTTTCTTTTCGGCTTGTCATTCATGTGAAATCCGGGGTTGAACATATGGATACATAATGTATATTTATTTATAGTACTGTATTACTCCACATCGTTGAGTAAATCTTTAAACTCTCAAAGAACGAGAATATAAATCATATCAATAAGCAGTGAATCTAGAAGCTTATCATTCTGAGATATTACGTTAAATATACGTACTTACAAGAATCACACTTGAAAGTAAATAAATACATCTCTCGCGCTTTATCTCAACATTAAATTTCATTCATATGTATTCTCTCTCTCTCTCTCTCTCTCTCTCTCTCTCTCTCTCTCTCTCTCTCTCTCTCTCTCTCTCTCTTTGTGTGTGTGTG